GCCCTTTTCCTGGGAGCCGCTTTGAACTTTGGCCTTCTGCCATCCTTGAACCCCATCGCATGTTGCTGAAACAGCAAGTGTGCTGAGGGTCACCGTCATCACCTGAAATCCCAAGAAAAAACATATATGAAAATGGTTTCCTTACAAAAGAGTACGGCACATCCTGAAATCATTTGAATTTATCATTGAGGATGGTTGTCTGCTGGTCAAACCTTCTTTGGATTTTTGTATCAGATTTGTGGGTTTGTCTTGGCGTGTGAAGCAACTAAGCACAGATTACAATCCCGCAGTGTACATGGTTCGTGTGACTAGCAGAGATAAGAAACGATCCGAGGGACACTATGAACACCGCTCGAAAGATCGTGATATTTGGCCCTCAAACAAGGAGCATTCACCTGTTGCATCTTGTTTCTGGGTCAGAAATGATTGACAGTCATCTCAGCCGCATCGTCAAAGACAATGTTACCCATTAATGTCAACCCTACGAAAACCCGCGGTACCATTTAAGTATCAGATTCTCACTTATATCAGCTCTATTTGGAGAGTACCCCCACAATAAACCATGGTTTCCTGATCCTGGGGTAGCCATTAGAAAGGCAGAGACTTCTTCCCAGCGTCCAAGGTTCTCACTACAGAGACTCTCAAACAGCCGGAATCCCAACGGGCCAACCCCCAATTGGGATGGTTGATACCCTCCATACAATATATATATATACACACATCATATATATATATATGATGTATATATGTATATGATGTATATATATATATGATATATATATATATGATTGATATATATATATATATTTGATTGGTATATAATATATATATATGATGTAATTATGTATATGTATATCTCTGGTAAACTTGTTTTTTTTATTATTAACTTTACCCAATTCATGGCATATTCTTGGCGTGCCCAGGTCTTGCTGTGGAGCAATGCGGTGATTTATGGTTTTGATCCCATTAGCCGCCTCATGACCGCGTGGACCAGCTTCAGGTGCCACGGATCGCAAAGTTGGTTAATTATAATAATATATACCTGGGTTTAAGGTGATTTTTTATTTCCCAATGGAAACCCACCATTTGGGGAATCTATAGTGAATATTTCTTAGTTTTTTGGAGCCCCTTAAGCAAATCCAAGTATACTGATATGTAGCAATCACCCAAAGAATGCCGAACAGTGTTTTCAGGATGTTGGTTCGATGATCTTTACTTCATATTTCCCGGTTTCCCACCTTTATCTTTTTTGGGGTTGCTATATTGTATACCAGAATATAAAATATATAGCTAGGGTTTAGGGTAGTAGATAAATATAGTGGGGCCTATAATGGGCATCTGAAAATGGGTTACCCCCGAATTGCAGTTTTCATGGGAAAAGTGGTATATAATTTATAATCCTTTGGTCCGAGTCCTTTGGGGTATCCCTTTTTCAAGCTTAAACCCAAATGAAAAACAGGGCGGGCGGAATCTTTTTTTGGGCCACGAAATCATCGACTCGAAGTGACAGTTCTCAAAGTCATCAATGATATACTGATACGATTGATGCGTGCCATGGTCAAAACATGGTTGTTGTTGGCATGCGGCACACAGTACCAGCATTTTGTCTCTTCGCCTCGAAAAGCTCAATTTCAAATTTGTCACCCTTACAAGAGCGGCGAGTCAACCGGTTGCCTTGTTGTTCCCACATTGGGAGATGGTAATCAACCCATTAATAGGAATTGTGACATTGACAAGACATTTTTTTGGATCCAACCAACTCCACCAATTTTTTGGAACCAAAAATAGGCTCTGCCAAGCCCAAAGCGACGCCAGGCACCTCAACGTTTTGACGTCTCTCTTTAGCCTGGCTGCGCTGGTGGTGGTGCTGTTGGCCAAATGGCCAAAGGCGTTGGCCACCTTTGATCAACGCTGGGTGCCCTGCCGTTGGATTTGGTTTTGTTGAGATGTGGCCACTGCTATGAGTGGCTTCAACTTCAACGTTTTTTTTGGGCCTTCAAGATCTGACTGTTTTGAGAGCAAGTGATTCCGCCTGATTTTGCCCCAGATGTGGATCCTTTCAGTGGACCATCACCATCCGTCCCCAGGTTGTCCCCATGGCCAACGTTGTCTTTGCGACCTGCTTCGGCTACGCGCGCACCATGGCCTTTCTGGTCTTGAAGGACAAGTGGCGATTTCTGCTGGTCACTGGGAGAGAACCCGCCAAAGTGTGTAGGAACAGCTGAAGCTCACAAGTAAAAGAAGTTTTTTGTTTTTAAGCGATTACTTTCAAGTATTGTATACGATTTTCCAGTCCAGGGTAATCGAGGGTTTGACCCGGAAACCGATGGGTTTTCGCATCCCATCTTTTTTTGGACCCGACGCATCTTAAATGCCGGTCCGGTTCTTGATACGGTATTTCTTTTCTGGCCCATTGGAGCCCCTAGATGGGTAGTTTTTTGCAAGCATGAATCAGCATACGGCAGCCCGTCTTTGTCTCACCTGGCATCGCAGGACGCTCCCAATGCCGCACGGCTCTACTGGATTGCTGGAATGGTGCTACAAGCTGGCAGCTTTTGTGGCAGCGTCGCCTCTTGGCCGAAGGTGGCAGGGTTGCAACCCCCAGAATTCCAGCCGCTGGCCATGGCCCCGCTGTAGGCGTCACTCTTTGTGAGGGCATAGGAAAACGACTGCTGACCCAACCACTGCAGACCTACTCCAGTTAGACCCCCTGTGCCTTACAGACTATTTTGCGTGTTGTGTTTTCGGACGTTTTTTTTGCCTTGAGCCACAAGAGCCACAAGAGCCACAAGAGCCACAAGAGGCACAAGAGGCACAAGAGGCACAAGAGGCACAACCACAGCAACTTACCACAGCAACTTACCACATCAACTTACCACATCAACTTACCACATCAACTGACCACATCAGCTTACCACATCAACTTGCCACATCAACTTACCACATCAACTTACCACACCAACTTACCACATCAACTTACCACATCAACTTACCACATCAACTTACCACATCAACTTACCACACCAACTTACCACATCAACTTACCACATCAACTTACCACATCAACTTACCACATCAACTTACCACATCAACTTACCACATCAACTTACCACACCAACTTACCACATCAACTTACCACATCAAC